TCAAAATAAATTATATATTTGGGTTCGTGGAGGAATGGGTAATTGGGTTTTGGTCGAACCTCGAGTTTTGACCATGTGGGCTTGGGGGCGATTTTTGACTTTTTGGGTAAAACTTTAGAAAACTCATTTTCATGCATTAGGATTGATTTATTTAGCACTTATTGATGTAATTAAGTAACTTGTGGCTAAATACGAGCGAATTGATGGTGGAATCACGAGGTAAAGCGATAGTAGAGGCTTGAATTGTGTTCGTGGCATCGAAGTAAGTGTTTGGTCTAACCTTAGCTTGAAGGACTAGGAGTCGTGTCTTATTTGCTACGTGCTAATTGTGAAGTACGACATATAGGCATGGTGACGAGTATCTATACGTCAGTGTCAAGCATGCTCGTGAGTCTTGTATTGTAATTGTTATGACTCCGTTGCGGTTTATTGCGTTTCACATGTTATTATCATTATTGTTCCCTTGCCGGGATGTTATTATCATTATTGTTCCCATGACGGGATGTTGTCTTGATATTATTATTCCCTTGCCGGGATGTTGTTAAAATATAATTGTTTCCTTACCGGGATTCTTTTGTGATTGTTGTTGATTTGTAAATGGGATCGTGTGGCACGCCGCCACGGAGAGATATGAAATAGGAGCGGGTTGCACGCCTGCAACAAGATATATGAAATGGAAGCGAGTTGCACGCCTGCAACGAGATATGTGAAATGGGAGCGGGTTGCACACCTGCAACGAGATATTTGAAATGGGATCGGGTTGCACGCCTGCAACGAGATACATGAAATGGGATCGGGTTGCACGCGTGCAACGAGATGTGAAATGAAAGTGAACTCTGCATTTGTTTTCTCTATCCTTGTTAGTAATTGGATTTTGGTTTTTTTATATTCCTCTTGATATTCTGTTGTTATCTGTTACTTCCCGCAGCCTTTTTCCCCCACCCAATTTTAATTGTGATTATCTGTTTCTATTTTCACTGTATATGATTTAATTGCACAAGTTTATTTGGTAGTCTGGTCCCAGCCTCGTCACTACTTCGCCGAGATTAGGTTGGGCACTTACCAACACATGGGGTCGGTTGTGCTGATACTACACTCTGCACTCTTTTGTGCAGATCCCAGTGTTGTAGACTTCAGACCGCAGTGAGATTGCAGTTTCTTGTTCATCAGGTGACCCGAGGTAGTCCTACAGGCGTCTGCAGGCCTTAGCGTCACCTCCTATCTTTCCTTTATCCTATTTCCTTTACTTATTTTAGAAACGGTGTATCTTTTATTTCTTTCAGACCTTTATTTGTAGTACTCTTAGACTGTCTGTGAAGCTGTGACTCCAGTTCTGGGTAGTCTTGTTTAAACAGTTGTATTGGTTGTACTCAGTAATTTTTTTTATTTTTCTTCCGCTTGATATAAATTTCGTTGTCTTTAAGTTATTGCTCAAAATTTTTTGTAAAGGATTAAAATGGGAAAAGGGGTAATTTAATCAAAAGTCGGCTTGCCTAGCTCACAATAGTAGGCGTCATCACGACTCCCGAGAATGGAAAATTCGAGTCGTGACAATATATATTTTGTAGACTTTACAATGAGTTGACATTTTGAGTACTTAAGTATATAAAATGGACTTATTTAGCTATTTCTGTTCCAATACAAAAGTTCTTTGGACGATGTCCTAAATGAATGCATAGATTAGGACATATATATATGAGTCCCATGATACTTGTGTCCCGCCAATCCATTTTGATACGTTTTTAGCCTATCTTGCTCCCGAGACCCGAGACTCGTCTAGAAAATACCTATATTTGATTAATAAAATACATGAGATCTTTATAAGGTTATTTTTTGTATATACAATGACTTGCACTAAAGAGAGGTTTTGATAAGATGATACATTGCTCGCTCGGTCATAGTTACTCGCTGTGATTCTCACTGGTGTATTGCTAGCGTTTGACATAAGTTCTAAAATTTGTTTTGAAAAATTTGATCCCGGTGAAGTTTGGTTTGAAGATGAAAATGTACTGGGACATTAGTTTTCAAAATATATTTTCTAAATTTATTTTGGAAAAACATAAAACATGATTTATACTCACAAGTTCTAAAAACTATCACAAATACCCAACAGTACCATTATCAATAACATTCATTATATTATCCCAAACCATAGTTCTGAATATAAATAAATTTGGTACAAAATTATCATTTTTATAATGAACTACATGATACACTATCACACCGAGAAGATGAAGTAACATTGTTACAAAATAATAAATAGTGGGCTCTTTTATAAAATACAAAAGTTTGGGTAATTTTTAAAAAATGTAATAGTGATATTTTGGCCTAAAACCAGCTATTGAGCTGGTTTTGGGATTTGGGATTTTGCCAAAATGTAGGCAAAATCTATGGCCAAACATGTGTTTGCCAAATAAAATCCAAATTTATTTTGGCAAAATCTATGGCCAAACATGTGTTTGCCAAATAAAATCCAAATTTATTTTGGCAAAATCTATGGCCAAACAGGTCCTTTATATATACAAATTACAGGTTAAAGACCAATTCAAGAAGAGATTTTTACATACCTATACACTATTGGAAACTTTATTACTCTAAATGTCCCTGTTTAGTTAATTATCAGGCCTAAACAAGTTTTATTCACAAAATATATACATTCCACCTTAAAAATCTCTCAATCCATTATTAGTGTCTTCAATCAAGGGATTTAGTTACATTTTTTTTCTCTCCTCTTCTCTCTCTACTCTCCAGAATTTTTGGTAAATAGTTGAAATCCCTTCTTTAATTTCTTGCTTCAACATGTACAAACAATATCCTCCCATGAGTATAATGAGTATATTGAGAGGCTAAAAATTGTACAAGGGATGGAAATAGCTACAGAAATTTTGTTCTTTCATTTAATTTTGTCAACCTCTCTACGTGAGACCATGAACAACTAAATTTCCAGCAATTTCACTTTTTTCTTTTTAAAATTTTGTACCATATCAAATCAGCATAAAGTACTTTTTAAACTTTTAGCTGCGTAATGCAAACCAATACACCAACTTATATATGTAGCTTAACCAACCCAAGAAAACAAATGGAAGTAAAAAACAATGAGGTAGAAATTCAACATGATAATGAAAAAAACAGAGAATCATAAGAATTAAGACTCAATAAAATTCTCACTACAGTACATCTCAAACAAAGTAGAAACAATTCTATTTACACAAGCTAGAAATTACATCTAATTAAAAGACAATGAATACAGATATTCACACTATAAAAAATGAAAAGTTGAAATAATTTATATCATACAGTTATATCTAAGACAAGAGGGGTTGCTCTAATGGTAAGCAACCCCCACTTCCAACCGAGAGGTTGTGAGTTCGAGTCTCCCCAAGAGCAAGGTGGGAAATTCTTGGAGGGAAGGATGCCGGGGGTCTATTTTGGAAACAGTCTCTCTACCATAGGGTAGGGGTAAGGTCTGCGTACACACTACCCTCCCCAGACCCCACTAAGTGGGATTATACTGGGTTGTTGTTGTTGTGGTTGTTGTTGTTGTTGTTGTTGTTGTTGTTGTTGTTGCATACAGTTATATCTACAACTTATCTGTAACTTTCATACATTATTTCTGTCCAGTTATATACAACTACAATATCATACCGCTTAAATACAATTTTATACAAATTTGATACAATACGTCTTTTGTATATTTTGTATATGATTTATACATAGTAAAAATAAATTTCATACAACTAATTATATATTATACAACTTATCTATAACTTTCAAACATTACTTTTACCCAGTTATATACAACTACAATATCATACAACTTAAATAGAATTTTTATACAAATATTGTTCAACTTTCATCAATATTTAAATTAAAAAAATATATAAAACAACACAATATTGTTCAACTTTCATCAATATTCTTATACAAATATTGTTCAACTTTTATACAAATATTGTTCAACTTTCAGAGTATAATGTATGATCGAGTTTCAATCTGAAATTCAGCCAAAATCAAGTCTAATCTTCACCAAAACACCCTCAAAATTGAGATATAAACTCCAAACCATATTCCCAATTGTTTGCAATAACACCCAATCCCAACAAATAATGATTTTTGAAAACCCAAATTCGAATTCAAAGCTTCAAAGTTTTTTAATGGCGGTCAATGGTGGAATTGTTACTCTCTTTTCCTTTGCTTTACATTACTGGAATTGAGGATTGAGAGATAGAGAGAGACGTAGATAGAATTTCCAATTGTTTGCAACAACACCCAATTCAAACAAATAATGTTTTTGAAAACCCAAATTCGAATTCAAAGCTTTTTAATGGCTGTCAATGGTGGAATTGCTGCTCTCTTTTCCTTTGCACTATATTACTGGAATTAGGGATTGAGAGATAGAGAGAGACGTAGAGAGAGAGAGAGAGAGAGAGAGAGCGCATGAGAGAGAGAGAGAGAGAGGGAGACGGAGAGAGAGAGAGCGCATAAGGGAGAGAGAATAACGATGGAAAATAATTGATTCCTAATATAAAAGAATACTCATTTAATTCCTAAAGTGTATATAATTAGTAAATTTGTATATAGAAGGTATTAAATTGAAACTTGAGTATGGAGGGTAATAAAGTTTCCAATAGTGTATAGGTATATAAAAATTCCATTCAGGAATCTATATAAATATATAAAATAGGGACATAGAAGTCTGATGTGGCACATCCCATAGATGAATATTCTTATTTATCTTTTTTCATGTATTTTTGTATTTTCCCAATCTTTTTCCTACAATTTTGTTCTTTATTGTGATTTAAAAACTCAAGAGTTGTGTTCTTCCAATAAAGATGGAACGGTTTCCAATAAACATGGAACGGTTGCAACAATTACTAAAAATAACGGTAGCAGTTTCAAAGGATGTCATAATGAGTAAATTACATAATGAATATAATGGTGGCAATTAATACACCACTCCTCCTCATAATAACCAACCTTTCACCCAGTTTATTCTTTATAAAACTTAATACAAATAACATATATACATCGACCAAAAAAAAAAGAAAAAGAAGAGAAGAAGAAGCTTTTGAACTCAGAATTAGATTTGCAAGAAAAATATTATTAGGGAGTTAGAGTTCAAATTTCCAAGAAAGAAAAGGACAAATCACGTTTTGCTGGCAACATATATGTTGCATCAGGAATTGTGCTATGCATTTACTGATAGATTTCATGTTCTAAGTTCTCTTCCCATTCTTTTAATGCCCTGCTTTTGATGATTGCACTTTTTAATGACTAAAGGGTTAAAATATTTTCATCATATGGATATATTTATCGCGATATTTAGGTAAGTTCGATTCTTACTTTAATCCATTACAAACTTTTTGTTGATGCATTGACCGTCATTTAAGTATTTTATAACATTAGTTAAAAAGTATTCTGGGGCTTCAGTGCGACAATCTTGCTTGATTAATCATGATTGAACTTTTAGAAAGTGATCAGAAATTGTATCTAATGTCATTTTAAGATCTCTTTCGAGTTAGTACATGAAATAAATTTTTTCCTCAAGCTAGCTCTCTGTTACTTCTCACATAAGTATGGCAACGTCAACATTCAAGTCCAACATTGATTATGTGATGAACAAAAAAATACACTCACTTATTTTTTGAAATAGCAAGTTATTGCTCCTTTTGATTTATTTTACAGGATAGCACTAGAGGATATGGAGCAATTACATGGATATGATTTCAAGAAATATTTCTATTCAGTTACGTGATCTATGTAGCTAATGACATTGAAAAATGCAACCCCAACCTTAATTATGACAGATTATGAGAGGAACAAATGATACGCTTGAGGTACTTTTTATAATATTTACTTACTCTTCAATCTTAATATTTTTAATATTAGTGTTTCCATTGCTCTTACACCTTCTTCCTTTTTGTATTATGTAATATTTTAAAGTGTGAACCAATATTCCAAATGTTTTTCATGTTCTCATACGAGATTCAGTATTCAAAACTCCGCAATATCAGTAGCTTAACATTTTTGGACTATTTTTTTGAGAATTATATTTGAGTTTAATATTTTGACATTTGATAATTTTATTAAAAAAAATGAATGGATAGATAAATAAGAAAGAAAAAGTCAAAAAAAAAAAAGAAGAAGAAGAAGAACAAGAGGAAAGGCAAAAGACAAGAAAAATGTCTAGAAAGGATCAACTATCTCTAGAAATATTAAAACTCCAATAATGACAAACTAGAAAAAATACCTACTGCATACTTCATCTAAAAGTCTTTTTGTTGCATTCATCGTTTAAAATTTTACATTAAATCTTAACGTATTGGTCAAGATAGAGGTTGTATGAGCAATTCAATTTTGATAAATATTTCATCTTAAGAATTTTTGTATGGTCATCATTATTATTTTTTCTCCTTTTTTTACTTCTTTTCCCTCATTTTTCATTTATTTTATTTTTAATAGCCCAATATGTCATTAATTTCTTTCATTTTTATTATACCATTTATACTCTTTTCCGAAATGTCTCCTTCATTCCTAACGCATCCTCTTCCTTCTTATTAGTTTCATTCTTCTTCCTCGTTTAAACATATGCATTATTTTCTTCCTACACTCATATTTTAATATGGTTATCTTTTAATTAGTAATTAATTATCTTTATATCCTTCTCCCCAGCACCCAATTCTACCTCTATTCGTTTTATTTTTCATTCACTTACTTCTTTTGTACTCATTTCATGCTTGCATATGTCTTAATTTTTTTTAATAGTTTTATAGGATAGCATAATATAAGTCGCACATATTACAAACACATATCCTAGCATATTTGGTTATTTTTTCGGTTCGGGAGACATAATTTTGACGGATGTTGATTATGTGTATTTTTTCTTTTTCAATTGGTGAGGTTCAACGACAATCTTATTTTTGTGGTAGTATCCTAACATATTTGATCATTTTTTAGGTTCATAGGACATATTTACGGCTGAAATCTTGGCACATGATGGTCATATGTAATCTTTCTTTTTCAATTGGTTATGTTTACCGACAATCTCACCTTTGTAAAGACTGTGCACAAGTATTTATANTTTATCCCTAAGAAACACATTTATAATTATCATTCCGTTTTTCCCTTCAATTATTCTCTTTTTTGGAAATAATTAATCGAATAACATTTAAATGTACTATAATTTTTTAAATTACAGAAATAAAATTACAAAGGATTTTTTATATATTTTATTAATTTATTTTTGAGACCGCACAAAGCGCGGCAAATTTACTAGTAACCTTATACAACCAAAACGTTCACAGCCCATTTGTTAAGTGTTAGGGATTCCAGAATGACCTCAAGAATCAACTGCATAACTGTAGGGATGTTCATGGTTCGGTTTGGATAGGTTTTTCTCTAAAAAGAAACCAAACCAAGTAAGTCGATTTTTCAAATATTAGAACCAAACCAAACCAATTAAGTCGGTTTTTTCTCGATTCGGTATGTCGGTTTTTCGGGTTTTTCGGTTATTTGTCGGTTTTTTCTTAAATATAAGACATACACTACCAAACACACATTTCGGCGATCACATTTTCAACGTAACACTATCAAATCAATTGCCCTTTGAGAAATCTATTTTTACCAAAATATATTGATGATAATTGAATTAAACAGTGATGAATAATTTAAGANATTTAAGGACTCAATTAAAAATATATTATTTTTAACAGGAAATAGATTCTTACACTTAACAAAAGAAAACTACCAATTAAACTAGAATGTAAAGGTAAAGAACTGTACTAAAAGTGCAAACGATTAATATTTACTGTAATTTTTAAAACTTTGTATAAAAGTATACATACATATAGGTGTAATAATACATTTAAAATAGCTACTCCTATATTCGGTTTGGTTCGATTTTATTTAATTAAAACCAAAACCAAACTAAATTTGATCGGTTTTTAAATTTCAAAACCAAAACCAAACCAAAAAGTATCGATTTTTTTGATCGGTTTGGTTTGATTTTCGGGTTTTCGGATTTTTATGAACACCCTATGCATAAGGAGTTAAACGAGCAAAAGCCCATATTCTAAAAGAAAACTATCGGTCATTCAATTAAATCAGATCATCTCTCAACTTGTTTTTTGAACTCTTAAAGCTCTCAAGATCATGAGTAAGATTTCCACTTATCCGTTAGCACGAGAAAATCAGATATATCACTACAAAAGGAACTAAAATTGGCTACGAACTTCGTTGTTAATCTGTCACTAAGTCGCTTGTAACTAACATAATTTCTTGATAATCTATCGCTAAAAGGATAAAAAGATTAGCAACGAATTTTTCTGTTAGCTACAAAATTTAGCCATCGCTAATTCCTATTTTTTAAATAGTGGATAACTATAATCTGCACACAATAAGGTGAGGGGAAAAAAATTATGTTTTTGTTGAAAGAATCAACATTCGTCCTACAATATATATCTTACTTCTTCCGTTTCATTTCGTATGCTGATTTTTCATAGGACATAGAATTTAAATAAGAAGAAAAAAATTAACATACATAAAAAAATACTATTAGAGTAATATGTAATCCTAATTATATTTCCACGGACATAAAACATGTCTCAAAAGCTTGGTATATAGACCAGAGGGGGAAAAAGGCACAATTTTGTTTTCTCCTTGAAAATTGACCAGATGCAAAAGTGGAAGTACGGCCGAGCTATCGGAGATAATGGAGAGGAAAACAATTAAGGAAGAAGAGAAAGGAAAATTAGAAGGTTTGCCAGTAGATACAAGTNAAACCTTTAGACTCAAGAGCATGTCTCCAAATCTCTAGCCTCTCGTTGACGCCGCCTCGTGTTTAGTTAATTAGAATAATGTCATCGGCAAATAGCATGCACCATGGCACCTCCCCTTGAATATGATGAGTCAGTGCATCCATCACCAGGGCAAATAGGAATGGGCTGAGCGCAGACCCTTGGTGCAACCCCGTACTAACTGGAAAATGTTCAGAGTCGCCTCCTACTGTCCTAACCCGAGTCTTAGCTCCATCATACATGTCTTTAATCACCCTAATATATTCCATCGGGACCCCTTTATCCTCTAAGCAGCTCAATAAGACCTCCCTAGGAACCCTATCGTATGCTTTCTCCAAATCAATAAACACCAATAATCCTGGCCGTGGTCCACTGATGCCCCTACCGCTCAGTCTCAGCTTTCTGCTACCGATCGCCCTTAATCGCCACGACGTTTCTAAATATTAGTTTTGGATTTCAATTTATATATACTGATTGTCAATATAATTTAATATATTATAGTGATAGATTATATGTTTGATTTTTTAGGTGTAAGATTTACTTATTATATACGAGCAATTTAGTTATTGTTATATTAAGGTGGTGATCTAATAGTGTAAAAGTTCAATAAGATTGATTTAATAAACAAATGCATATGCATCGATTTTACATAGAGGTGTACATGGATTGAGTTGATGCGATTTTTATCAAAATCAAATTAAATCAACTATATCGGTTTGAATTAGTTCGGTTTTGTAGGATTTTTCAGATTTTACGATTTTTTTTATTATATGAATATTATTTCAACCTTACTTTATTAAAATTATAGGTAAGTGATTATTTGTTTAGTACAAATTGTAAAATGATAAATATATCATCTATTAAAATATTCCTATGAGAGATTTTTTTTAGTAAATATGATAGTTATTTTCTTAATCGTCTTACAATAAATTTTCATTGATGTGTGCTTTCAAAGTTAACCGAATTTAATAATTAAACATAGAAATTAATATGATGCCTAAATAATAATATGTTATATTTAATTTTAAATTATTGAAATGCCATTTCAAATTCGAAAAAAATATAAGAAATCTTGAAATATGATTATGGAAGAATTAAAGAATGATTGACGCTTTTCAATAACACTTGATAAGAAAATGATGCAACCCATTATTTAAGGTAAACAAAAATGAATGAATTTTATAGTTCTATTAAATATTACATTCTACGAGAGGATCTCAAATATTTCTAGATATATTTTAAAGAAAATTCTATATAAAGTCTTAAAATAAATGTAAAAATTATATATTTATATGTTGATTTGGTTTGGATTTTTTTAGTCAAGACCAAACCAAATCAAACCAAACCGAATTGAGTTTTTTATTCCATTTGGTTTGACTTTTCGGTTTGGTGTGATTTTCTAGTTCGGTTTGAATACTCCTAATTTTCACATAAGCGTTATTAGTCTATTGTTACAATCTTCTAAGTGGATTTGGATTTGGTACGATGGTTGTTTTAATGCTCTATTCTTATCTTAAATTGATGTTCATCTTGTATTTTTAAGTCGTGTCACCCCATATATACATAATTTTGAACTTTATTTGCATAGATATGAAAGAAAAAATACATAATTTTGAACTTCATTTATAAGATACATGAAAGAAACAGAATTTGACTATATTAACATCGATATATGAAAGGAAAAGAAATAGATGAAGCGACAGGGTTACTAAAGGGTGTTTTTGTTCGGTGTTTCTGTATGAGCCAAGAATTATTTTTGATATGATTAAACCGTATTAGTATTAAGAAGGGCTTCATGCACTGCCGCGTGTCACCAGCAAAACTTCGATAAACATTTGCCCAAGGTCGAAGTAGTCTCTTAAAAGATGAAGAGCGAAGCCGGTGAAGTTATTGAAGATCAAGGTCAAGGAATCATCGAAGATCAATGTCGAGCACTCATCATATACAGAGTAAATAACGGCTAGTTTTAGGATAAGACATCAAAAGAAAATATTTCAGTCGATTTTCTCTGTACTTGTACTATTAGAGTTCTTGGGTATATGTTCTCTATAAATAGAAAGAGACACAATGATAGGGAACATAAGATATTCACTTGTAAAAAAACACATTGACTTTCTCTATATAATCTGGCTTTACTGCAAACAAACAATATATACCTTTTTCTTAAGAGTCTTGCCTAACTTTTTCACTCGATCCAAGAACAATCTGAACATTCGAATGCCCATCAATCATTCAATATTGTCAGAAGGAATATTCACAGATCTCACCCTTTTCGGGTGACTCGCACGTTCTTATTTACTTAAATGTCATTCATTGCTATTTATGGTTATTTAATGTTATCTCCTTCTTTTTGGGTCACTGAATATTTTTAGTTTTGTCAACATTTACTGCTATTTTTATAAATGTACATATTATCTTATCACAAAATCAGTTAACATATTTTTTTGGATATTAATATTAGTTAAGATTGACCCTATTCTATTAAATCTAATTGTCTAAGCCTAGATCGAAATTTTGGATCAAACAGTTTGGTGCCGTCCGTGGGGATTTCTTAGCTAATCTTTCAGTTTTCATTAGATCTACAACTCATGTGATTTTGCTAACCCAACCAATCACTAAGTTTTTCTCCCACACTGCATCTATAAAAGTTTACATGTCATGTAACCAAGGAGACAACACTAAATGTGACATCCCCAACAACCTCATGAATGCTATCAACGAGAGCTATGGAACGTTGGGCGATGATGTGATACCCATTGCTTCCCCAGGCGCGAGAGGTCGCCTCCCCACCATTTTAGCACGATGAAACCAAATGGAAAAGGGGCATCCACGTCCACAGGAGAAGAGACACTACCCGCCGTCACTACTACGAAAGAGACTTTTAGTGGTATTTAATTAGCAGCAATATAAGAATGACCGCTAAATAGTTTTGTAAACGAAAATATTAGTGGCAAATAAGCATTAGACGCTGTTACATACCCTTTTAGTGGCAATAAAAATAAATAACCACAATTAAAAGCAAACTATTATTACTTTTGTATTCCCCTCCAAAATTTTAGACTAAAATAACCCATGCCCTCCAATTGTTTCCGTCTATGTTGGGGAAACTAAAAAAAAAATACTTGAAACAATTAAAATCTCTCATCCCCTGTAAAGTTGTCATTGTTGCTGCCCTATTGCGGAGCCGCCGCCTATCGCCGATCCTCACCATAGCGCCACCAACCCCAGGTAATATTTTCAAAAAATACGTTTTTTAATCATTGTTCTATTTCTTCTATGTCTCTT